TGGAGAAAACCCAAATTTACAAGTTATCATCCAGAACATGTGAAAAAATATGCTGATTTCAACATACTTTAACTAAAAGTGATTTAAGTTTTGTCAAGTATATTTGTATATATCTTGTAACTGATGTAATCAACTTTCTCAAACTCATTAAATGTTTTCTTTCAACCAAAGCTTAAAAAAAACAGAGGAATTGTGGTCAGCTAGCTGAAACTTCCTTCCGTTTCATTGAATTTTGCTTAAAAAAATTGCTCAAAATATGCAATAAAAGACATTAATCATACAGATGTAACAAAGATTACATCTGTATGATGTATAAATGTCATTAGGCAACAAAAAAATATTTTTCCACTGTGGTCTCAGCAGAAGATCTGATCTTGAAAGTTAGAAGAACTATAAGCCACATGAGTGCACTTCCTGTGTAGTCATGACAGCTATTTTCTGACAGCTATATAAAGGAAAGGTCTTGGTACACACACAGCATGATGAATGTCTAAAGTAGTAAGCTGTAAAGGAGATTTTTGGTGCCTTATCTTTTTACATGTTTCAAAAGAAATGCACATTTAATTGTGATTAATCAGTGCTAGATATTTTTTAACTTATTAACAGTACTATTTTTTTTCTTATGTCACTTCTTTTGTGTTGTTATATTATCTTTTAAGAGATGTCAGTTTCATTTCAAGCTCAAAAGCAACTTCTGTTTGGATATAAATGATATTAACTCTAACTCTATGGAGCTATGAATATTTTCAGGCCTAACTGTATGAGGGCTTTACTTTTTATTCATCTCTCTCCTCACAAATCCAAAAAGCATCAGCACACATGGTCACTGAGCTCTTACAGCTTTGTCAGCAATATCCCTCTGTTGCTTGTGAACTAAAAACCCAGTAGTTTTGTTAACCACAAGCCAACTCCTGTACAGGGAATGATTCACATATGGTGTGAATAGCCAGAACTTTCCGACAACATAATAGTTTCTATTGAAACACATTTCCAGAGGTCCTTTCAAATGTATGAGTTAATAATATTGCTGAAAAATTATTCCAACTGAATTTGCTTATTTAAGAGTCTTTTTTTTTTCTATGCAGTCATAATAATCCCCAGCTCTGCGGATGTACACTGAACGGCCTCGTGGCAGGAAACAGAGTTGCAATAACTGAGTTTATTCATCTATGAGCAAACCAATACACAACAGTCAGACCAAAAGATGTCTTGACCTTTTTGTTTTGGATGTGACAGGAAGTTGTTGAGACAGAATGGCTGCATGGATGTCCCCCCGTATTGTTTGAGATTTCTGAGAGAATCTGTAAAATGAAAATAGCCAGGGGCAACGCACGTCTGTGCACACTATCTGGTTTGATCTAGACGAAAGCTGTGAGATAACAGGAAGAGTCATGGGGCCTGTTATGATCCGCTTACAAGTCACTTTTTTGAGAAGTGAACTGTAGCGAGGCAATAAACCTAGCTAAAAGTGCAAAGAGTATCTAATTATTTATGTTTAGGGTCTCGCTTTGCAGAAAGTTTAATATATGATCCTGGAAGAGTATAAAATATTCAGAAAATCTTTAACAACTAAACTGAAAACAATTCTCAGAATTTAAAAGTAGGCAGAAAAAAAAGTTCAAGGCAAAAAGAAAAAAAAGCCTTACAAAATATTGACTAATTAATATTTTTAGTCTTCCTTCCCACCTAAAACAACTAAGTAAACTTAATTAACTAATTAGTTTTCCAAATATAAAATATGTAGGCCTTGCACAGTATCTGAAAGGATTAAGGAAGATGTAATGAATCCCAAAAATAATCATACTTTGGGATAGCAAAAGGCAGTAAAAGAGGAAGTAGACTGAAATGTGTTGAGATCTCATGAGTGAGGTGAGTAACATGGTGGAATGTGTTGTGAAAAACCATCATGTATTCTAAACCCGATAGACCAAAAACGTGCAAGCGCACGAGCAGCAAATCAGCCAACACAAAGCAATCAGTTACTAAACAAACTTAGTGCAGCTCAGACAAACAAGCCAAGAAGCCAAGAAACCCAAATCAAAAGCTTAAAAAGATTCAGATTGGTCACCATAAGGTCATATCTTCAGAGAAAACCACCTAGCATGGGAAAACCTGCACAGCCTGCAGAACTATGGTGAAATTAGAACGGCTTTTCAAGTCTAATAAAGCCAATCACACACTTAGTATACCATCTTAATATATCTTTTTCAAAGAGCAAACAAAGGCAAATGAAAATGCAGAAATGCAGAGATGGGACATATTTTTCAAAAGTTTTTAAAGTTTTTTTTTTCATTCAACCAAGGAGTTTATTCCTGACTGCAAAAGTGTTTTTTTATATGAACCATAATGCACAGTTAACAGTTTCTGCAGGAAAGTCTGAGGTAAGAGATTTATTCTTCTTTATTTTGGGATTTCTTTCTCACCTCTGACTGCCATCAGAGAACAGGATACAGAAATCAGTACCAGTTTAGCTTCGTTCACATTGTCCAGTGAGTCTTTATGTTCCTGTGAGAAACTCTCCTGGGTAAACTAGAGTTCCTTTTTTTGTTTTGCTGAGTGAAAAGAAACATTTTTTTAAAGCGGTTACTGCTGTCCTCTGTGACAAAGTATGATATATTGTTCTACTCAGAGCCACTTTTATTAAACAGCTACATTTCATTTGATTTTAATTTCTGAATGTGCATGAAATAGTTTGTCCTCTGACCAATGGCTGACAACTACTTATCGTACCACCTTTATAATACAGTTCCTTTATATATATTAAAATGAAATAAAACATTGAGCACATTCACTGTTACCCATATTCATTTAATGTTTGCTGTTTAAGCTCTGCTTACTCATGAAATGTGTTTATTTTGCGCTGTCCTTGTGTAAGTGGGTTTTAGCGTTCTCTCTGTTGGTGTGTTCACCACACATCCCCATGGGCCCTCTATCTGTCATCTCCATTTTTCTAAAGTCACAAAGCACAAACTCCACCTCATTGTTTTTAAAGTGTGAAATATTGTTGCAAGCACCCTTATATCAGTGAGCTTTGCGGAGTGAGTTCACCCAGAGGGTAACCATTTATTTTGGGTTTGTGCAACTACACTTGAAGATTCATGAAACCATCCGCCTGTAGAAGTGGTGGCAGCTTGTGATGCTAGCAAAGTCAACTCTCTTTTGCATGGATTCAATATTTTACAATGCTTCAGGAACTACCTCTGTGAACTTTATATTTTGCTCTCACAGCCTTCAAGAGTAGAACTAAACCAACAACACTGGCTTTTATTTATTTGTTTATAAGAATGCCTTGGGCAAGTCACCTTCATTTTGCTTAATTTCGTTTTTCCAGCCAGATGTCAAAACAATATTCACTCATCACACCTAAACTAAAGAGAGTGACTGTTGAACCCCTTTTGAAATCTTACTTTTATGTTCTGTTCTTGTATAATCTTTGTTTCATTTGAAGTTAATTTCTGTAATATTTTAACTGCAGTGCAAGATAGAAAGGAATTTAAATAAATGTTAAAGAAATCGAATCAATTCTATATCATTTAACTACGTTGTTACTTTTAACACACAAAACTGGTATCTGTCTACGAATGGCAACAAATTAGAAAGACAATCATCAAACAGTTAGAACTACAAAGACGAAACCAGAAACTGAATCAATGTAACTTGTATTGATAATTCTGTAACATAGTAGGATGAGGCATGTAAAACTGTGTAGCAGTCTAACTATTAGGCTTCTTGTAACTTAGTATGATGTACAAAATATTTGATGGGTTATTTGTTAAAAGGCGTACGATTTTATTTTTGTCCTCCACAGCCATGCTCTTTAAATAACTCTAGCAGTTCTGCACTTTAATCATTTGCATAAATATTTATGTTTCGGGACTTTTCGTGGCTTACAGTAACTACCAGTAACTATCTGGCTTACAGTGTTGTCACTTCATTGACTTTTGATCTAAAACTTTAGCACCTGTTCACACGTTTAACAAGTGTGATGTACCGGAATTTTACATGCCCTGACATTGCCCCTGATAGATAAAGTTGTGACAAAATTAACTAGATGGTGAACAGATAGTGGAAATTTCCACACTGTGCTGCACAAAAAGGGGGCGTGTGAGGGTGTGTAGTGAGAGGGAGTTTGATCACGAAGAAGGTGATTAAATATTTTTGACTGGAAAAGGAAGATAGCTCTATGTAATCTTTCAAATATTGATGATCTTTTCAGGACACTCAGCATGTTGAGTCACAGAGGACGACGCTGCAGGTAAGCTACATCACTTCAACAGAGAATGAAGCCGCTTTAGACAAAAATCTCAATGAAATAGGACTTACATCGACTCTCAAGGATTCTTTATGAAACTTTAAATTGCTTGATCATTCTCTAATGACCAAAGTAGCTCTTAAATGTAGTATAGAAACAGTTTGTAAATTAAGAAAAAAAAAATCTTTTCACATATTTGTAGAAACTGTTACTATATCTTGACAGTATGATTTTTAAAAAATCCAAAACTGCCCAAATAGTTGGGATGTTAATTTTACTATATTTTCGATGCGAGATTAAATGCAGTTATTGTGTGTAGCTTAGTGGTGCAAATCACACTTTTTTATGACTGGTGTCCTAAAGGAGTGTTTTACACATTTTTCAAGAGCAGTATTTGTGCCATTCAGTCACAGCCAAAAAGAAAGAAGTAACAAATAGTTCTTATACCCACTTTTATTATTATTTCAACAGTACCACGAAATAGAGAGATAAAACTTTAAGTCTATGTCACAATCTCTTGTGGCTCAAGTTCACTTGCAAGACCAAAAGAAAAAGACTTTAAAAAAGAAATTAATTTTTAAAAATTTCAGTAACTTTAAAGTATTTATTTGTCTATGTATTCACTTTTTTCTGTTCACAGGTTCAAAATTAATTCCTATTTGTTCAACAAGGTTGTGACAAACAAAAGAGAAAATATTCTCAGGTTGTTTTAACTACGTAAATGCTGATCAGAAAAAGCCTCTTCACCATGACAGCCAAGAGGAATATCCTGTTGTTGGGTAAGATCAGCTCCTGATTTAAAACCAGTAAGATACAGAACATCATCCCAGTTCTAGAGTCTGTACACTGGCTTCCAGTAGCTCAGAGAATACATTTTAAAAAACTCGATAGTTCATAAATCACTTAGCGGTTCAGCACCGCAAAACATTAATGATTTGCTGTTGTATCAACCTTCCACACTACTGATGTCTTCTGGTTCTGGTCTGCTCTGCATCACCAGAACCAGAACCAAACATGGAGAAGCAGCATTCAGCTTCAAAGCACCAGAAATCTGGGACAAGCTTACAGAAAATAATATGAAACACAGAATTCCTTTAAATCTAGACTAGAAATCCATCCTGTAGAGTTACCTTTCAGCCATAATAAAAGAAACATTGACCAACATGCTTCACTTTCCTCAGTTGTTGACTGAGAAAAGTGAAATTTGTGTTTTTATGATACAAGACACTTTGAGATGTCTTGTTGCAAAATTTGTGAGACAAATTAACTTGATAACTATTATGATTGCTAGCTATCAATCATAATTCTCAAAACTCTCTTTGACTCCAATAATTACATTTAGTGTAATAATTATAAATACCTGCTGTCATTTGATGATTGTTGTAATCAGTGGTAGTACATTAGATGGTCAAAGTGTGATAGGCTCCAGTAATGACTGACACTTTATGCTTGTTTTTCAGCTTTGATCCTTTCTTGTCACTGAACAAACACAAGCGTCCTGCCTCCGGGGTTCAGTACCTTGTGTTGTGTTGGTATGTAAAAAACGTAACTTTCTTCAAAGACACATATATGCAACACATGTGCAGGTCCCTATTTAAAATTACTTTGTTCTTTACCATGCCTCATCATTTTGAGATTTTTTCTTTGTTTATTAAAATTATTGTTGTTTTTATCATTCTTGTTCTTTCTTCACATCAGTATCAATTTCAGTATTAAGAAAAACATGCTGTAATAACCTTTCACATTTCTCTTTCCTCAACAAAGATGACAATGAATGTGACATCCCTGAATTCTGTGGAGACAATGCAAACTGTTTCAACACAAATGGCAGCTACTACTGCCAGTGCAAGGAGGGTTACAGGTCAAAATCTGTGAATTTTATTGCTATAGACACCAACTGTAAAGGTAAAAAGTCTTGAACTAGAAATGACAACAATGAGATTTCCATTCTGTTTTTATTCTTATAATTGTTATATTCTTATTTGTTTCAAAAAAGATATCAATGAATGTTGGGAAAGCAAAGATATCTGTGGACCTAATGCCTCTTGTCAAAACACACCTTCCAACTACACCTGCAGATGTAAAAGTGGATTTGTCTCGTCTACTGGAGTGAAAATATTTCATGGCCGTAACAACGTGACATGCAGAGGTAACACAGTGACTTCCTGCACAGTTGTGTTAGTTTGCTTTTCTTTGCACTTCACATGATTCCTCCAATCAATTACATATTTCTCTCAAGTATTTTCACATTATGTCTCTCTGCTCATACAGACACAGATGAATGTAAGGTTGAAAAGGTTTGTGGTCTGAATGCGTCATGTATAAATACACAAGGAAGTTATAACTGCGTCTGCAACGCTGGCTACGCACTGAAATCTGGAAACTCTAGCTTTTCTGGGCAGGGGCAGCAATGCAAAGATGATGAATATGGAATAATGTGACAAGATTTGCACATTTAATTTTTTTTTTATATATTTTAGCTGAATCAACTATTCAAATTATTTTTTTCATGTTGATTTGTTTCCATTTCAGACATATGTAAGATTGATGAGACAATTTGTGGAAATGGGTCCTGCCTCCATGACTCCAGTGGCCATTATTGTGCATGCTCTGCAGGGTTTACTAACTACGGCAACAAAACGGGTCGTTGTACTGGTAAGAATAGATTTGAGTTTTTTTAAAAGACCAATACAAACAGGTTTAGGGTTTATACTAAAACAAACTCTTTCAAAATAATTTTCTGACAGTAAACTATTGTTTTATTGTCTTAGTGCTTCACTGTGATGTTTTCAAGGATGTGAACAATCTTATGGAGGTAAAATCATACCATGAATAATTCAAGCTTCCTCAAAGTCTGTTATCAATAACTGTTTGAACATATATTTTTTTCTCTTCTTTTAGAAATTTTTTATTGTTCAAGATAATATAAAGCAACTGAGTGAAAGTTGTCTGAAGCTCTCAGGAAGTGAACATTCAAAGGAGCTCAATGAAGAAGTCTTACTAACGGTACAAATGTTTTTAGAAGCAGCCTTTTAGAGGAAACCCATCATGTCAGATGGTGTACAGCTATCTATACAGCTTTATGTTTAACCTTTAAAACATGTTTATTTTTTTTCAATCTCTCCTCCTTTGACTCTAGACTCTGCTCTCTATGACAGACCAGCTACTTTTTGCTGGATCTCTCAATGACAACATGAAAGTCTCCGCATTTTTTGACATGGTGGAACAAGCTCTAGGGTTCATTGGACCTTTGATTAAAACACCAGGAACTAAAATATCCACCAATCAAACAGGTGAGCCAGCAATTAATATGACTGCTTTCTAAATTAAATAAAAACTCCCTCTCTTTTCCTTTTTTTACATTAGTCTTTGTTGAAGTCTATATTTCAACCAGCTGGCAGTTTTAACTTTAGTGCAAGTAATTTGTGTTCAATACGAATTTTCCACTAGAACTGGAGCTGCTGGTACATACTGGGTCGGCTATACCTCAAGGAATAAAGACTCTGTCGACTAAACAGGCTAAAGTGGATATCAAGATGGAAGAAGCTGCAGGAGACCCTTCATCTTATCCGGGTAACAACATGTCTATAAATAACACATTTAAAACACATTCATTTCAAACATTAAACCTGTGTTATCTGTCATTGAAGGATTCACAACAGTTTCGTTGCTGAGCTATTCAAACCTGGAGGAATCTGCAGAAGGTTTCTTTAGTGGGGTGAAAAATAATGAGAGCCAGAAATTTAAGATAAACTCCAAAGTGGTGACTGTCAGTGTTAGCAATGCAGACACAAAACACCTGAATGAACCAGTCAACATAACTTTACATCACCTTGATCAGGTAAGAGAAAGCCTCATTGTGTTTATTTTCTACATCATTCACCTTTTAAGATAATTGTTATGCATTTGTCACTCAATCTATCAAGTTTAATGTTGTATTGCACATTTCAGCAATAAAGCAGTTCAAAGTGCTGTGCATCACAAAAACACAAAAATACAAAGTTATAGAACACACTACACAGTCAACAATCAGTAAACATTTAATTTTGTCAAGTGCCAAAATTACACACAAAACTGTTGGTTAGTGTTTCATTTATTATGGTTCAAAAACAGCTCTTTAAACAGCTGGGTTTTAAGTCTAGATTTAAGGGAAATCAGTGTTTCTGGAAGTTTGCTGAATGCTGCTTTCTCTATTTTCCAGTCAAATCAAACCTCCCACACCTGTGTGTTCTGGGATTCCTCTAAGGATGGAGGTGCCTGGTCCGATCGCGGCTGCAGCGTGAAGGAGTCCAACCCAAAATACACTGTGTGTTCCTGTAACCACTTTGGCAGTTTTTCTGTGCTCATGGCTCTCTATGACATAGAGGTTCTGCTTTCTTAACTACATAGTGATTCAAAATATGAAGTTTCTTATTTTTAACTTGAGTCTTTAAATGCTTAAATAATTCTGTCTCCATATAGAGTCATTTTGAGTTGCAGCTGATCTCCAGGATAGGCCTATCCCTTTCATTAATTTGCCTGTTCTTCTGCATCCTGACCTTCTCAATGATCCGGTCTATCAAAAGCACCAGAACAACCATCCACCTGCACCTCTGCATCAGCCTCTTTATTGCAACTCTTGTCTTTCTTGCAGGCATCTCTCAGACACAGAACAAGGTTAATGCTCTAACAGCTTGTTGTCTTGATAAAAAGTGTTTTGAAAATGTTTGCCTGTTCTGTTAGAACATATTACCCCTGCAATCAGCTCCTTCCTATATCTTGAACTTGTCTTGAAGTCATGCTTCATTTCAACTCCCATTAGGTTGGATGTGCAGTAGTTGCAGGGATGCTGCACTTCTTCTACCTGGCTGCATTCTGCTGGATGTGTCTGGAGGGAATCCAGCTCTTCAGGATGGTGGTCCTGGTCTTCAACACCAACTTTAAAACCAGCTACATGATGGCAGGGGGCTACGGAGTTCCTGCTGCAATTGTTACTATTTCTGCATTGATCAATGCTAATGGATATGGTGATAAAAAAATGTAAGTTTCTGGTATTATGTTTAATGACATTTACCCATGTACAGTAAATCATTTTTCTGTAGCTCAGAAAATGTGCAGTTTGCTGAATAAACTCTTGGGTGTGTTCTAGATGCTGGTTGAACCAGGATTACATTTGGAGTTTCATTGGTCCCATCTTTGTCTTTATTACTGTAAGAATTTACTTTAAAAAGTATTTACGTCAGTATTATTCTGGAAAAAAACCAACAAATTTTTGTTTAAAACTCTGTTGTCTTCCAGGTAAGCATGTTCCTTTTTCTTGTCACTGTGTTGACATTGGCTCAGAAGTTTTCAAGTTTAAAGCCAGACCTGGACAGCTTGAAAAAAATAAAGTAAGTTTCAATTGACCCAACAACTTTTAAAAAGATGGGTTTTTTTAGGACCAATAAACATTACCTCTTTTTCTTCTCCAAGTATGTAACTTAGTGCTTGTACACAGTGCATCATTTGCTTTTTGCAGAGCTTTTGCTGTTACCGCAGTGGCACAGCTGTGTATACTCCGCACCATGTGGATAATCAACAGTTTCCAGCTGAAAAGAGACGGTGCCTCCATGTACTATCTGTTCACCATTTTCAGTCTTCAGGGTGTTTTGCTCTTTATTATGCATTGTCTGTTTTCAAAACAGGTTGGTAATGTGCCACTCTCACAAATATTCTCTGATATTTCTTCAACTAATTTGGATTTTCATTTCAGGTGAGGGACGAGTATAGAGGCTTTTTTTCTCGATGTTCAGCTTGGAAAAGGAATCAAACCCATGTAGGCAGTAATTTTAAATTCACTGTAATTCTTCTTTGCTCATTATTAGAGAAAGGTTAAGCAGTAATTGTATTGTGGCTTTGAACAGCACTGTTTTTATGTGAACTAAAAAGAAAGTGTGTATACACGTAATTTTGGAACAGAATCTGAGAATCACTGAAAAGTCACATTCATATATTCAGGGTTTTAAGTCACTGAGTAATAATAAGAGCTGTTAAGTGAAAAAAAGGATCTTTTTACTAACATTGTGGGGTAGGGTTTATTATTAATTTTGACTCTTGTTTTTCATTCCCAGGCATCCAGACAAAGCCTGGACACAGGAGAGCCTAACATTAGGACAACTACCCATAATCTGTAACTAAAATTCAGAAGACTGATAGTTCTATCAATTAACATTGGTTTTGTTCTTTATCATACAGTAAACAGGCAGATATATTTTGGCATACTGACAATAAGTCTAATTTTTGGGGCGTGCTGTAGTGGTGCAGGGGGTTAGCATGCCCCACGTTTGGAGGCCTCGACGCGGCTGTCGCGGGTTTCGACTTCTGATCCTGGCGATCTTTGCCGCATGTCTTCCTTGCTCTCCTTCTTGTCTGCCTACTGTCAAAAAATACGAGCCACTAGTGCCGCAAAAACTCTTCAAAGAAAAAAATTATATAAAAAAAAGAAAGTCGAATTTCTTCATAGTCATTTTCAATTGTCTCAGTCATTCTCTTTGGCAACGCCTTATTTGCCTACGTCTGGTCGTTCAACTCAAACATGACCTATGTTATAACGCCTTTTCTCAAAAAAAGAGGAAACGTGGAAAGGGTGGAAAAAACAGAAGTTTGAGGCCCAAAGCGCTATCTACATCAGATATGAAAGTATCTGACAGAATTAGAAAGACATGTCTTTAAAAAAAGCCCGATATGTATGCACCATCCTTTAGCTGATCAGTCGACAAATTGTGTTATATTTGGTATTTGTTTAATGATTCCGTTCATAAAAGAGAACAAGTTGCACCGTTATTATTAGCTGTTAATACCAAACAACCTAAAGATATAATTTTAGGTTGTTTAAGAAGTTGGTTACCCAGTTCTCCATATTCTATTTCAAGAGTGTTTCATCCATCAGATTCAGGTTTTCAGTGGCTGGTCATACAGACTTAAAATGGTACTGAGCAGAAACGGAGTGAAGAAGAAACCCAACCAAATTAGATATTTTTGAATACTTTTGTTTAGCGCAATACATTAGCCATTACAATTTGTGTTTTAAGGAGTTATGTATGCTATATGTTCTTTTGTTCTTTTTTGTTACAAAAATCTGTATTAATGTATCAGTTACATTTTTTCTGAGATTTTGATATTCTGTTTATGGTTCATGTTTTGCTTTGCTTATGTCACTGCCGCTTGTATATATTAACAAACTTAATAAAAATGATTTTAAATTGTGTCAACGGTGTCAGTATAATTTTTCTTAAGCAGCGACAAAAAGACCTGAATAGTGTGTAAGGGAAGTATCAGTACTGGGCCTTATCTGAGATGGGTGTCAAGGCAGCACAACAAACAAAACAAGATAAAGTTCACAAGTATTAATGGAGTCTGACTGTCTCTTGAAAATCTTCATACTGTTTCACTGCGACCACATTCAATCAATATTCATCACAGAGTGTTTCTTATTCTCTTCAGTTTGTATGGGTTCAACTGAATGGGTTCTTTTCGCAATACAACATATATATCACACCAGCTGTCTTCTCTTTTCAAACTTTATCAAATCAACATTTTCACTTCAGCTAATCCACAAGATCAGTTTGCAAAGATCGCTCAGGCTTTTAAAAAAAACCTTATTAACCACAGTGAGGTATGAAAACATGCAGCTGACATGCAACATCTTGTGATTAGATGAGTGATTGGCATGTTATACATTTTTTTTCTGTAAGAAATGGAGAATTGACTAAAAGTGCATCTTTTGCTTTTTGTTTTTTGTGTGAGTGTGTGTAGCTTATTTGCACCAGCATTGTCTGAATCAGAAGCAATCTTAGGCTGAAGCCATATATGTGTCATCATCATAGTCAGGAGGCCATGTGCCTTTGGGAGGGTGAGTCAGACAGCGCGACTCCACAGAACAATGAACTGTGTGAAAGTCTCAATCTTTTTTAACCCTGTGTGTCCCCCAATCAGAGTCCAACACGGCAGCCAGCGATGAGAGTTGGTTAAAAGAGAGAGAAATTATCGGTGAAAACGCTTTTAGGTGATGTCTTTATGCCGTGCATTCAAATGTTAGTACGCTGTCATAACTACATCCTGTTTCTGCCTCCACACCCTAACACGTACATCAGTTCCTGAAAAGTTGTACAAACCTCAGAGTTGGTGGCATGATGCGAAGAGAGAGAGAGAAAGAGATTGAGTGAGAAAGAAAGAGATCCTGTTTTAAAGTTTTACTCGTTCCCTGGCAGCTCACCACAAGAGAGAGATCAGTCTGAGAGTAGGAGAGAAAGCAGAGGCAAGATCAAGCGGGGAAGCCAAGAAAAGATGCAGTTTTATACAAAGAGGCATTGATAATCTGACAGAAGTGGGAGTGACATGGAAAGTAGCCACTTTGCTTTTTTCATCGACAGTAACTTATGCAGTTAGAGCTATTTTTTTCAATTTCAAGTTTATAAGGCTTGAAAATTATTTAAGTTGGAGCAAAGAAGAGAGCATCAGACGACCTGAATGTGGAAATATTCTCCAGCTATTGTGACTTTTTAAACACTCATCTGGACATTGCTTTTCTCTTCACCATGAGAGCCACGTGGACTGTTTTGATACTGGGTGAGTCACATGTGGCACTAATTTGGACATGAATGGATTATCTGTTTCAAGGGTGTAAAAAATATTATATTCTATTATCATTTGCCAAAAGAAACACTACAGATAGACCAGTGCTCTAACTTTTGTGATTACTTACTTAATTAAACATGAATTTATTAATCATGTAATAAGGATCTAATCTTCAAATAAGCTTGATTATACTTATTTTATATTTATTCAGCTCTCACTGGAAAATGTCAACTATAAATTTAAATTGGTAACTTTACTTTAGATGTAGCACAATTACGTAACAGTTTTAGTCTCAAAAAGACATTTCAGAACAATCCTTAAGTTGTTCATTTGACTAAAAGTGAATTAAACACTATGACCTCATCTGCCAGAACCCATATTATTTCTTACCACAGTAACCACAACTGCCAGTGAGCTGACATCAGTGGAAGAACTCTATTTTTATGCCAGTAGCAACAGGAAGCAACACTGACATATTCTAATTTTCAAAAACCCCAAAATGTTTTTATTAGAACCAGGATTATTGAACAGTCATCTAAGATTTAATCTTCTCTGGAAAAATCCCAACATTTTATGTTGTAGAGCGCAGTGTTGTCATTTGCTCTATGCAAATCTGAAAGCCAAATTGTATGTAGTACAGTTCCTTAATTACAAACTGTAATTTCTTTTAACATTTGTATTTTATTATTAACCAGGCAGTTATTTTTATTAACTATCCACTTAGATTGGAAACACTATTGAGAGAAATCTCCTTCAGAAAATATGTTCTGAACAATGAACTAATAACGCAACCAGACATCATCATAAATAATAAACTGATTTAAAATATATTTAACATTTAATTTTAAGGATTATCACTGGCAAAGCCTGTGAACTGACCAGGATAAACATTCTCCCTTCCTGTTTTAAATACTCTGTATCAAACCCACATAGTCATTCAGGAAACTACAAAGAACTGACAATGCAGTCAGAACATTGTAGACTGCATTATTATTCACAAGGTAAAGTACAGTTTTCAAACTGCAGTGCTCCAGATAGTTGTGTGAAAATTATCCTGAGATATCTTATAGAATGAGGCAAGAACCAGTGAGAAAATCAAACCAAAAGATTTTGTTTTTTCAGCGTGTCCTTCTCAAAATTCATCATATCTCTAGCTCTAATGTTTTGACTTACTGAATCATGAAACCTTTCTAAAACACCCTGTATCTTTAAATAATTGTCGTTATCAGTAGTAATAGGTGAAATAGTCAAAGTGTGATAGGCTCCAGTAATGACTGACACTTTATTCTTGTTTTTCAGCTTTGATCCTTCCTCTTGTCATTGTCCAAACACAAACATCCTGCCCTTTGGGGTTCAGTACGGTTGACCAAAGTTGTGTTGGTATGTAAAAAATGTAACTTTCTTCAAAGACACATATATGCAACACATGTGCAGGTCCCTATTTAAAATTACTTTGTTCTTTACCATGCCTCATCATTTTGGGATTTTTTTCTTTGTTTACTAAAATTATTGTTGTTTTTATCATTCTTGTTCTTTCTTCACATCAGTATCAATTTCAGTATTATGTCAAACATCAGTTCATGCTGTAATAACTTTTCACATTTCTCTTTCATCAACAAAGATGACAACGAATGTGGCATCCCTGAATTCTGTGGAGAAAATGCAAACTGTTTCAACACAAATGGCAGCTACTACTGCCAGTGCAAGGAGGGTTACAGGTCAAAATCTGTGAATTTTACTGTTATGGACTCCAATTGTAAAGGTAAATAGTCTTGAACTAGAAATGACAACAATGAGATTTCCATTCTGTTTTTATTCTTATAATTGTTATATTCTTATTTGTTTCAAAAAAGATATCAATGAATGTTGGGAAAGCAAAGATATCTGTGGACCTAATGCCTCTTGTCAAAACACACCTTCCAACTACACCTGCAGATGTAAAAATGGATTTGTCTCGTCTACTGGAGTGAAAATATTTCATGGCCGTGACAACGTGACATGCAGAGGTAACACAGTGACTTCCTGCACAGTTGTGTTAGTTTGCTTTTCTTTGCACTTCACATGATTCCTCCAATCAATTACATATTTCTCCCAAGTATTTTCACATTTCTTCCCTCTGCTCATATAGACACAGATGAATGTAAGGATGAAAAGGTTTGTGGTCTGAATGCATCATGTATAAATACACAAGGAAGTTATCACTGTGTCTGCAACGCTGGCTACGCACTGAAATCTGGAAACTCTAGCTTTTCTGGGCAGGGGCAGCAATGCGAAGGTGATGAATATGGAATAATGTGACAAGATTTGCACATTTAAATTCTTTTAATATATCTTAACATGTATCAGCTGAACCAACTTTTCAAATTATTTTTTTTCATCCTTGATTTGTTTCCATTTCAGACATATGTAAGATTGATGAGACAATTTGTGGACATGGGTCCTGCCTCCATGACTCCAGTGGCCATTACTGTGCATGCTCTGCAGGGTTTACTAACTACGGCAACAAAACGGGTCGTTGTACTGGTAAGAATAGATTTGAGTTTTTTTAAAGACCAATACAAACAGGTTTAGGGTTTATACTAAAACAAACTCTTTCAAAATAATTTTCAGACAGTAAACTATTGTTTTATTGTCTTAGTGCTTCACTGTGATGTTTTCAAGGATGTGAACAATTCAAGAATGGAGGTGAAATCACATCATAAATCTTTTTTTTTTTATGTGATTTTCCTCTTATGTCTGTTATCAATTACCTTTCGAAAGTGATTTTTTTTTTTTTTGCATTTTTTTAGGAATTTGACACGGTTCGAGATGATATGAAGCAACTGAGTGAAAATTGTCTGAAGCTCTCAGGAAGTGAACATTCAAAGGAGCTCAATGGAGAATTCTTACTAACGGTACAAATGTTTTTTAGAAGCAGCCTTTTAGAGGAAACCCATCATTTCAGATGGTGTACAGCTATCTATACAGCTTTATGTTTAACCTTTAAAACATGTTTATTTTTTCAATCTCTCTCCTCCCTTGACTCTAGACCCTGCTCTCTATTATCGACAAGCTACTGACTGCTGGATCTTTTAAAGACAACAAGAAAGTCTCCACATTTCTAGACATAGTGGAACAAGCTCTAGGGTTCATTGGACCTTTGATTAAAACACCAAGAACTAAAAAATCCACCCGTCACACAGGTTAGTCAGCAATTAATATGACTGCTTTCCAAACTAAATAAAAATATAACCACCCCTTCCCTTTTGTTTTATGCTACATCAATCTGCCTCTCTAAAGTGCATATTTCACACAATTCTTAGTTTTATTATATGCTGCAATTAATTCAGTACCAATTTTCCACCAGAACTGGAGCTGCTGTTACATATTGGGTCGGCTATACCTCAAGGAATAAAGACTCTGTCGACTAAACAGGCTAAAGTGGATATCAAGATGGAAGAAGCTGCAGGAGACCCTTCATCTTATCCGGGTAACAACATGTCTATAAATAACACATTTGAAAACACATTCATTTCAAATATTAGACCTGTGTTGTCTGTCATTGAAGGATTTACAACGGCTTCGTTGCTGAGCTATTCAAACCTGGAGGAATCTGCAGAAGGTTTCTTTAGTGGGGTGAAAAATAATGAGAGCCAGAAATTTAAGATAAACTCCAAAGTGGTGACTGTCAGTGTTAGCAATGCAGACACAAATCACCTGAACGAACCAGTCAACATAACTTTACATCACCTTGATCAGGTAAGAGAAGGCCTACTTGTTTCTTTCTTACATGACATTCACTTTTTTATGATAAATGTGAAAATAATGTGTTTTTCTGTTTCACAGTCAAATCAAACCTCCCACACCTGTGTGTTCTGGGATTCCTCTAAGGATGGAGGTGCCTGGTCCGATCGCGGCTGCAGCGTAGCGGAGTCCAACCCAAAATACACTGTGTGTTCCTGTAACCACCTGAGCAGTTTTGCTGTGCTCATGGCTCTCTATGACATAGAGGTTCTGCTTTCTTAACTACATAGTGATTCAAAATATGAAGTTTCTTATTTTTAACTTGAGTCTTTAAATGCTTAAATAATTCTGTCTCCATATAGAGTCATTTTGAGTTGCAGCTGATCTCCAGGAGGCCTATCCCTTTCATTAATTTGCCTGTTCTTCTGCATCCTGACCTTCTCAATGATCCGGTCTATCAAAAGCACCAGAACAACCATCCACCTGCACCTCTGCATCAGCCTCTTTATTGCAACTCTTGTCTTTCTCGCAGGCATCTCTCAGACACAGAACAAGGTTAATGCTCTAACAGCTTGTTGTCTTGATAAAAGTGTTTTGAAAATGTTTGCCTGTTCTGTTAGAACATATTACCCTGCAATCAGCTCCTTCCTATATCTTGAACTTGTCTTGAAGTCATGCTTCATTTCAACTCCCATTAGGTTGGATGTGCAGTAGTTGCAGGGATGCTGCACTTCTTCTACCTGGCTGCATTCTGCTGGATGTGTCTGGAGGGAATCCAGCTCTTCAGGATGGTGGTCCTGGTCTTCAACACCAACTTTAAAACCAGCTACATGATGGCAGGGGGCTACGGAGTTCCTGCTGCAATTGTTACTATTTCTGCATTGGTCAATCGAGACGGATACGGGACTAAGAAATAGTGAGCTTTTAATATTTCATCAACTAATATGAATCTCATATTTATTTTTGTCTCATTTTGTAAACATTTTCAAATTCAGAAAATGTTAACCTGTTTTCAGTCTGTTCAATAAAATGTCTACTTACCTTCCAGTTGCTGGCTAAACTTGAACTTGATTTGGAGTTTCTATGGCCCTGTCTGTGTCATTATTACTGTAAGTTTTTACCAAAAATTTATTAACAGTTCACTTTAAAAATGACATCGGAACCAACTCTATTTCCACTTTTTTTTCTCTCATCATCCAGGTAAATGTTTTGTTCTTCCTTGTCACTGTGTGGAAGTTGGCACAGAAGTTTTCAAGTTTAAACCCTGACCTGGACAGCTTGCATAAAATCAAGTAAGTTATCACTGTTGCACATGTCCACCTGAAACTATCAAAAAGCTGAAAACTACTATGACGCATGAAAGACACATTTTCTTCTGAACAAGAACCTGTTTAACTTCCTTACTCGTAAAATTGAAAAAAGTGAGTGCAACATTCTCTTTGTCGAAAAAAAATTTAAGTTCCTCATTTTTACCTATGTGCAATTGTTGCCTCCTGCAGGGCATTCACCGTTACTGCAGTGGCTCAGCTCTGTATACTCGGCATCATGTGGATCTTTGGGTGTTTCCAGTTTGAGAAGAACACAATAGCAATGTCCTATCTGTTCACCATTTTTGGCAGCCTTCAAGGTGTCATGCTCTTTGTCATGCACTGTCTATTTTCCAAACAGGTGAGTCATGCCCTTTGCTAAAGTAAACAAACATCACGCTTCAAGTTTTCTACCGCATCAGGGATCAAAGCTCAATCTGTTTTCTGATTTTAGGTGAGGGATGAGTATGAAAACATTCTTTCTCAACTACGTGCTCCTCGGAAGAGAACATACTCTGAGTTCAACTTCTCAAGCAAAGCTACTGTAAGCGGAGATTTAAAATTTTATTCAATAGACGGAATGTAGTTACTGCTCATGAATGCACTGAGACTGAAGTTGAACAATGTCTTTTAAATTTGTTCAACACACAGTTAAAACAAATACAAATATTTACATACAGTGTATTAAAATTTTTTTTTTACTCTTTATTCTCACTTCTTTAAATTAAATCAAATACAGAATTTATAATTATAATTTTCTGTTGCTTTAAGCCCAGAATTGTTCATTTTGGTTTAAAATAAGATGTGAAATGAAGCTTAGTGTTTGTTGTTGTTGTTTCTGAGACAGCAAAGCTTTCCTTGTAAATGTATTATGTTACACTTGTTTGCATTTTCATCTTCAGGCATCCAGAAGTACTCAGGACACAGGAGAGTCTCACAATTAACTGAGCGATATCTCTGGGAGAATTCAGAATGTCCATTTTTAAAAATTAGCTCTCTGAGACATTTTGTTTTCTGCCTCCTGAAGCTCTTCTGCGCTGATTTAGCCTAACAATTCAATGTTATGCTGACAATGTGCCTTTCTCATTTGGAAACGGTGCAGATTTGTCCAAAGTACAGCCCCATTTATTCCTAATCAGGTATTGGTTCTCAAAATAATTTCCTGCTTCTTAACAGTGACGAGACAGATTTAATGAGCGATATCATTGGACATTTATCAGACATGTTCCTCGGTAGGTTTTTAAAGCTAAATTTAAAAAAAATCACTTGTTCACTTTTTCATTTGGTCACATGTAATTTCATTTTATACTTATTGTTTTTGCTGCTTTTCTTGGTATTGTATTGTTTTTTTTAACTCTTTGTGATTGTTCAGCACTTTGAATGACTTTATAAATAAAGTTATTATTATTGCTATTAATAGCTTTGAATTAAAGTCCAGTTAAAATATGGATATTAAAGCTTTGAGCAAAGCTTGTTTTGTCCATAATATGCTTTAATTTCATGACAATACTTTTTTAACAGTATTTTTGTAACTTGATAAATTATGTATTTTATTTAGGAAATGTACATATAAAAACAGTATTTTTATATGAAAGATTATGTTCTTTTGCTCAAAATTACACGTTTGTAGAATTTAATCAGGCACGTCTACTGATGTAATTTGTTTCATTCAGGTACTTAATTCAATCAGCAAGAACAATCCAAAATATACTTATGTTGCAAGCTCTTCTTTTAAATTGTTGAGCTCAAGAAAAACAAAGGAAATCCAAAACACAAACACAGATTTATTATTTGAATTTTTGCCTGTATGTAAGTCACTGGGAAATTTAGCCTGTATTAGTGTATAGCTCCAAGGCTGCTGCTTGTATTGCACCTGGATACATCAAAAAGAGTTGTTTATTCAGTGAGTTCATATGCTATTTGTCTTGAAACTGATCTCAGATAAGTTCAATTATTATGGTCCTCTGAAATGGTAGCACCGCTGTAACACATGGTTTTAGCGCACATCACATATTTTAAACTGATGCTGTTTATTTCTTGTTTACATTGCTTTCTTTGTGAGAATTCTTAAAACATGTATTTTAAATGTCATTATTTGCAAAAATAAATGTAATCATATATATATATAACAATGCTGATGATTTCGCAGGCATTTCTTGATGTGGGTTGAAAAGTATACAGGAAATGGGAGACTTTCTCTTATTCCTTCCTGTTTGTGAAAGATCAGAGACATGATGGTTCCTAGAAAAACACAAAGGTTTAGACAAACGAGCAATTAAATCACACAGAATTACTGCATTGTATTAAAGGTCAGAGCTGAATCTGGTTTCTATTGATCTTATTATTTTACAAAGACAATGATCGGGCTGCATTGTATCATTGTATTATATGAAGTTTTATTGATGACATGTATACTACATACTTTCAGGAATGAAAAAAAAATCTTATTGTAACAGAGCAAAAGAATGTAAGCAATATCTGCTTCTTACTACGAGTGTTGAACCATTTAGCAAGCAGTTAATCAATCAGAAAATAACTGAGAGCGAGTTGAGATCCACTCTGCTCCACAAGATCATCAGAAGAGATCGATAGATGGAAGGAATGCTTTTAGCAGATAAGGAGGATGGAAAATGCAGATCTAGAAGGATGTGATAAACAGCTCTCTCCAGAGAGAGAGAGAGAGTAGGAACAGGCAAAAGAGAAGCTGTTGGAGAGAAAAGGGAGGAGACAAGAGAAAATGAGAGGGAAGTAGTGATAACTCACTTAGCAAACAAGGCAACGTTGTTGATAAGAGACATATTCATCTGTCTCCACCATAAACAACCCAGCATTCATCCGTTGCTATCTCTGGGTAAGTTTTGTTCATATTTTATTCCTTTTCTTACTTGTAAATAACATATTTATAAATAACATTCCTGTTTTCATAGATAGCAGTAAAGACAGTTATGAAGCAAAAGTACAAGGAAATAACAGGTTTCTGCATGTCTCTAAAGGTAACGCAGGGAAAGCTGCCCCACCACTATGAATATATGACACCAGAAACTGGGCAGAAATTCAAAATTCTTGGTTAAGTTGATGTGTAAACATTTCAGATTTTAAAAGATTCCCATATGCTATAACAGAGCATTCTGTATTTTTGCTTCAAAACTGTATCTATAATAACTTATGGATTATTTAGTACTGCATTAAAAATTATAACATTGATTTAGGAAAGATGTATTTAATATCCACTGTTTATGTAAGCAATTTCTAAAGAATATTTTTATATCAGTGAGCAAATTGTGTCTATAACTGTCCTTGACTTCCATTTCATTTAAAGCTTAGTTACATACTAAAATGCCTTTATTTAGGCAACAGTTGACAAATGTGAAATTATAAAAAAAATCATAATAGTCAGCCAATGGGATGTTTTTAAGTAATTTAAGGCAAACTAGAATCCTTGAGGAACAAAATCCTTAGTTATATTACTGTTAACATCTAGGTGAGGTTTTTTTTTATTATTTTTATAACAATTCCAATTACTTTTGTATTTTTCTGTAGATCACACTGACGATGACGACACCAAGTGTACCAATACATGTATCTTTTCCTAATGTGTCCGCTACCAACACCACTTCCACTTCTATCCCTAAAACTTATGGTTTGGGGATGTCTTTATTCACCATGCTATTTGGTGCCATCTCTAACCTCACTGCTCTGGGAATACTGGTTCGGTCCCGTGCCCAATTCAGCCGGCAATCAAAAAAATCATTTCTGCTACTAACAGTGGCTTTACTTGTGGCTGACCTGTTGGGTCATGTGATTTTGGGTGCATTCGCACTGCATGTGCATTTGAACCAGGGGGTCTTACAGACTGGAGAGCCCTTCTGTAATGTCTTTGGAGCAAGTATGGTGTTTTTCGGTTTGTGTTCTTTGTTTTTTGGTTTTGCAATGGCGGTGGAACGCTGTGTGGCAATCACGCAGCCATTTTTTCATGTTTCTGTGGTTACAGCTGCTCATGCAAAGTCGGTGGTGCTATTTTTGTCAAGTTTTGCACTAGTGCTGGCTCTGTCACCTTTTTTCTCAGCAGGAAGATACATTCTCCAATCTCCCAAAACATGGTGCTTCTTGCCAATTCATGGGTCTGCTGACACAACCCTAGTTTTGGTTTTCTCTTCTCTGGGTCTCTTTGCTCTGTTTTTTTCCCTGTTCTGCAATATTGTCAGTGGACTGGCACTGCTGCATGCAAGAATAAAATCAAGAAATGGAAATACGACACCTTCAGGTAGCAGTGGTCGTCGTGCATCAACAGTATCGTCCACCTCCTTGTTTTGCACTCTGGATGTGGAAATGATGGTGCAACTCGCAGCAGTCACTGTGGTGTCTTGTGTCTGCTGGGGCCCCTTTCTGGTGTGTATATCTCTTTCTTTTACTCCTGAGATATTTGCAGTAAAGAGTTACACACATTTCAGTTGTTAGGACAGAGTCAAGTAGAAAATTGCTTAAATCTTTCTGTCTTTATGTTTCTTCTGTCTTATAGATCCACATTTTCATGAAGCAGTTTAAGATGCATACTGAACCAGATCTGTTTGTTTTAATTGGCTTGCGCATGGCTGCCTGGAATCAGATTTTAGACCCCTGGGTTTATATCTTACTTCGAAGGAAAATGCTGACAAGACTTTGCTGTGATCGCTACTATCAAGGCCTACCAACATCCAGCAACTCCCTGTTAGAGAGTCGCCGAAATACAATTAATCTTCAATGACCCTCATCCCCTGACCTCTTTCATTTTGGCCTGGCATCTTAAGTCATTTGCTTTGCTTTTCACCCTGATTCAGATTTTCGTTTGTTTTTTTTTTTTCTTTCTTTTCTGCAAGTTAATATATCAACGTTATTGTTATTTTTCAGCATAGCTTAACACTTCATAGTTTGCATGCCAAGGGCCTGCGCAGCGTGGAGTGAATAAGTGATGAGAGACAACCCAAGCGACATTTCACAACATTTTAGTTAGTAGTCTGGACCGGTGTTCTCATGATTTGTCCTACATTCAGTCGCAGCCTCCTGCAAATCTGGTGGTCGGGGCAGATTTTGTCCAATCAGAATAGAGAAATGTTTGACAGGCTCCGGGTTTAGACAATCGGTGAGCTGCTGACAAAAATCACACCCCCTAGTGGGCGGTGCTTAAATGGCAGCAGCTCTCTCCAATATGGAGTACAGAAAATAGCCTGATTCACTCCACATCTTATACTTTTCTCTTGGGTCTTTATTATCTCAGGGTTTATTATTATTATTATTATTTATAGCTTATTCGCAGATGCCAGCCCGCTATAATCTCTTACCCTTTATTTTGAGCTGTAGCCTGAACTTAGCAAACTCCTCAGTAATTGACAGCTGCCGCGCTAACAACGATAAAGCGCTACAAACACTTCAAAAGTCCCGATTTCCACCGCAACACAGCGTTGTGAACTGTCGCTCTTAACGGCGGCAGGACAAAGTCTGAAAGCTTCCGTCAGAGCAACAAAGTGAGCCGAGTTACTGGGTGAAAGGTGACGTCGCGGCAGAATATTTGACTCATAGGTAAGTGGTGGACAAATTTGAAGTTGTTTCCATTGAGTGTTTTTTGTGTCTGGCGTGGCTCCATGTGTCTGTTGCCACTTAAGTACAACTTGGATACTTCTGTTGTTGTCACTATTGTGTTAATCCAAAACAAGCCATAACGTTTAGTTAGCTATTTTTGTTTAATAATGAGTAAAACAAGGTTTTCTGGGTGTATTTATCTGTACCAGCCTGCGCTGCAGTACTTCAGCCCTTTAAGAGGAAGCCATCAGTTTAAGCCACGTATTGTGTAAATCCCATCTTTCTTTGTTTCTTTTTTTTTTCTTTCTCTCCGTGACAAGAATGCACAATGCAGCGAGTGTGTCAGCCTCTCTGGGTTCTTTGGGACTGCTGCGTCTGGTTGGGGTGTCCTGGTCCTGGAGTCTGGCAGCAGGCCTAGGAGTGTATCTGGGCACCAAAAGCTGGAAATACTTCTACATTGCAGCACGTACTGCAAAGAGAGACATCAAGTAAGTCAGGTGCATCCAAATTAATTTGTGATGTTTCTGGAAGTGCACTCAAATATTCCCTCTTCTTCTTCTCTCATTTGAATCAGTGGCCTCTACGTGCTGCTGAGGGTGAAGCTGGCGTTGTGGCACCACATGCGCAGTGGAAGCAATATTCTTTCCATCTTTGCTCAGACCGTGAAACAACACCCAAATAAACCGGCACTGATCTATGAAGCCACAGGGGAAACATGGACCTTCACCCAGCTGGATGAGATCTCTAACGCTGTAGCTCATTGGGCAAGAGGTCAAGGATGGGTTTCTGGGGATGTGGTGGCCCTCTTCTTGGAAAGCAGGCCATTACATGTGGCGTTGTGGCTTGGCTTGGCAAAAATTGGGGTAGAAGCTGCTCTTATTAACTTCAGCCTCCGCTGTGATCCTCTTCTGCACTGCATTGGGGTATCAGGGTCACGGGCCATAGTGTTCGGAGCCGAGCTGGCTGATGGTAAGTATGATTAATCTCACCATCTGTATAATCTGTATTACTCTGAAGAATTTCATTAATCTTGGAATAGCACATTTCTTGAAGTAGGTGTGAAAATAACAGTTTTCAAGAGTACTATGCCTAAATAATTCATTTTCTTTCAAATAGCTATAAAACAAAAGCTTAAATGTTATCAGTGTCATTTTAAAGAGCAAGTTAAAAACTTGTTAAAAGCTGGGACTCCCAAAACACACCAAAATGGATGAACTATTTTTCAAAAGTATTCTTTGATATTATTGCCTTTTGTGTTTTTCATATGTTAAAACAAAATTTAGGTAAATTATCTGTCATTTTCGCAGGTCAATAAAACAATTATATTTCTATTTATGAAAAAAAAGAGATATTAATAATGACAACGGTTGATTTTAAAATTCATTAAGACAAACTATGCTTGTTGCCTGTTGGACAGTGTGTGCAGAGGCATTATATGAAGAGAGAAAAGTTTTAAACCTAAACTTAAAGGACATAATTTTTTTCTTGTATTCAAATGTATACACATAAACAGCTGTGCACAGGTTATATCAATAAGTTGCTGGTATTTTTACTTGTTTACTTCCTGGTGTTTTACAATATTCAAGGTCAATACATACTCTGCACGAACAGAGAAATTAGTTATTTTGTTAAAATTCGGCAAGAACAAAGTTTTTGTCAGTAATAACATTGTTTACTTCACAACTTGTGTAATGGACTCCCTCAAAGTCTTCATGAGTCTCTTCCAGAGCCACTTTATGTTTCTCTGACTCGACACAAGAAAACAGTTTTGCCCAAAAT